GGGGGGGGGGGGGGGGGGGGGGGGGGGGGGGGGGGGGGGGGGGGGGGGGGGGGGGGGGGGGGGGGGGGACAGGGGTTGGGACCGCCCCCAAAAAAGAGAGAAAAAAATTGATTGCATTTTGCACAAAGGAACCAAGAGCATTTTAATGTCGCTAGGATTGTGCAACTAACAACCTTTGCACAAAATTAATGAAATCATGAAAATAATTGAATGTACAAAGGTAGTTTTCGTCTTGAAGTTATAATTCATTGGGGGGAAAGATAAAATTTGTTTAGAAGATCATTTGGTTGTTAAACATCAACCTTGTAGGTAAGTCAACAGTAGAATGCTGAAGTCCCGAAAGTAAAAGCTTCCACCATGGCCAAGATACTAGTGGAGGGTCTCTTGTCTCTGACTCCAGTCTGAGGTGGGTCCTGGATGATTCTAATGCGAACGCATGTTTCTTGGTGTTGCAGACGCGGCGTGTCCAAGCTGCGAGATCTCGGGGACGCTGTTCAGCTTCACGTTCTGGCTGGGCTACTTGAACAGCTGCCTGAACCCGTTCATCTACGCCTGCTCCTCCCGGGAGCTCCGCCGAGCCTTCCTCGACATCCTCCGCTGCCGCTGCCGCCCCTGCCCCTGCGCCCGCGACCACAAGGCCCCGCCAACCCTCACTTACTCCAGCTAGTCCACCGCCCCACCCACCACCACCCTCACCCTCCACCCGCTCAGGAGCCACCGGCCAAGCTGGGCCTTCGACCAAGAGCCCCTACCCACCCCCCGGTGAATGAACCTTGGGCATGCTCCTTTGAGAGCAACTCCCGACGAGCCAATGGACCACTACACGGTAAAAATTAAATTCCTAAAAAAAGTTGCTGCAATATTTCAACGTAGATTTCACAACACAAAAATGCTACTTTAATCACTAATGTAAGCTGATGTAACCACAGGGGTGGTTAGAGTAGCATTCTTGTGTTGTGAAATGTACGTTGAAATATTGCAGTCACTCTTTTTAGTAATCGAATTGTTAAATCAGCAATTTAATTTTTCCGTGTAGACAAGGTCCAAATGTAAGCATTCTGATACATGTCCCTAACCAGAATTTCATGAGAAACATGCATCAGAATTCTCAACTTCGTTCCTCGTCTAGTGGTCCATCGTATAAACTTCAGCTAAAGCGTAAAAAGAAGAGATCTACTTTAGGAAATGGCTCAAAAGTCAGGTGCAGAACGAGCGCATCAAGGAAGTCTTAAATGGACACATTTCTCCCAAAAGGATTTATAGACGAGTGGAAATAAAGATGGGGTGTGCTCTAGAAAGGTGCATAGGAACAATGTGAAAGAGGGCGTGATTTTCCTTTGGAGAAATGGAAAAGCAGGATTTTACATTCTGTCAAACGGAACTTTGCGCCAACTTATGTGGTACTCATTAGCCGTGGGCAAGGGAAATGAGCGTTGTGGACAGGGCTCATGAGTTAATATCGACTAAGCGCGACAACGGAGACGGCTTCGTTGCAGCTGACGTCACTGGCGCTTTATAATTCCCATGCATTCTTACGGCTCTCGACTAACGAGCACATCCCTTTTGTTTCTGGTTCCGTTTGAAAGAAATACGTCCAAATACGTTCTTATCTTCACAACCTGTGGAAGAAAACATGCGTTTTTCAAGCTTTCCGCTTCAAAACCGATACGGCGCACGGCACAGGTGGACATTTTCGTAAGAAGTATCATTCCATCCAATTCTTGTGCACCAGGATGCTACACAATATTCAACATGGTAGACGTTTTAGCGCGCAAGTTTTCGGATCCGTGATCCGAAAACTTCAGAGCGATCCATAAGACCTCAACTTCGGGTCCCACGCACGAAGTTTTTTTCTCCGTGTAGAAATGCATTAACTCTTCCTTTTGCTCTAGCTGAAGTTTACAACAGGCACGTTGAGACCATAAACATACACATGATAATATCAAGACAGTTCGTACGGTTTTTTTTGTGAGAGAGTTAGGTAGGCAACACGGACATATTTCGAGTCATCTGCAGTGACAGAGGCCAAGCTCTTGAGGATGCCACATTCTCAGGCTCAACCGAAAATCCGTCCGGGCTCTGCATCGTATATTGGGTGAGAGGAAAAAGTGGTGGTAGGTGGTCAGTTGAATCTATGATTATCGATTTTTTCCCATTTGAAATTGTCGTAAAGAATCGATTATTGAAGTGCTCGTTGCGATCACCCTGTTTATCGATGATTTTCTATAGGTTTAAATGACGGGTGAATCGATATATCGCAAAGCGCGCCACGCCACTGGTGGTGGTGGCGGTGTTGGATGATTTTTTAACCATGATTAATTTCAAAACATATAGCGATGGGCCAAGGCAAAAGGACTCCTAAGGTGAAAACTCTCGTCGTTCAGTAGAACGGGGAAAAAACAATTTAGGGTCATGAATATTGGTTTTCAGTATTCGATGCTTAACGCTTTTTAATATTCTCAAGAATATATAGTGTTTAAATTTCAAACAATAATTTGCCTAATAATCCATGGTATAAGCCTTAGAACTGAATTGTCTTGACGCCGGTGGATCGAGTCAATTAGAGAGGTCGGACATGACATTTTTTACTAAAACCGCAAATTTTGATGTTAATTTCGTCACATTGTAAATTTTAAGGGGTGGCTCTGGAAGAAAATTTTACGAAAAAGCCAATGAAACCACTTTTTGAACATCAAACTTATGTATCAACGGAGTTATAAGCGTTTAAAGTTTCCAATCTGTGTCCGACCTCTCCTATTGACTCGATCCACTGTGCGCCGGTGGATCGAGTCAATTAGAGAGGTCCAACATGAAATTTTTTACTAAAACTGGAAAATTTGATGTTTAATTCGTCAAATTTCATATTCTAAGAGATGTATATGGAATTAAATTTCACGAGGAAACCAATGGAGCCACTTTTAAAATCTCAAAGTTTTGTATAAATGGAGTTATAAACGTTTAAAGTTTCCAAATTTTGTCCGACCTCTCCTATTGACTCGATCCACTGTGCGACGGCCGCCAATAATACTGTGGCAAATTTTGACAGCGTTTACTCGAATTCTCCATTTTTCGGCCTTAATCTTGAAATTGCCTCATGACGGTTAATATTGATAATTTTTTGGGGTATTCGATGAACCAATTGAAGCAGAATTAACCACTTTCAGCTCTAACAAGAGCAGCTCTCATTTTTAATTGTTCGAGCCTTATGGGTCCCTTTACCTGACTCCATCAGAATTTATAAGGTAGGGGTGGAGTACCTGTGAGAGTCGGGGATATTTAATTTGACTATTAATGCCTTCGCGAAATTTTGCGAGAAAAATGCAATCGTGTCAGTAAAGCTCTGATGTTCAACAAAGGATAAATACAGTCTTGATTTGATGTGGGCCTAAAACCGGCTGAATACTTTCGCGTAGCTCGGGTAAAGTTTTTGAACTTAATTCGCAAAAGTGCACTTCGATTTTTCTCTCATACTTCCCAAAAATTGACGTTATTTCCAAGAAAACTTTTGCTGTTTTCAAGAATTATTACCTCTCCGCCGACATAAATAAGGAACGTGGACACTTTGCGGTCAGTATTCTGAGAAGTGTACGCGGTCTGGTAGTTTTTCTATCGATTGAAATGTTCGACTTGATGTGTGCAGGTAGACTCGATTACATACTGCCATGCTAAGGAAAAACGACGTATGAACCTCAAGACGTTGCCAAATTTCTTTTGATAAAAAACGAATTTTTGAGAAAACTTATGATTATTTTTCTTCCAATTTTTCTGACAATTTTGTTCGCAATTTCACTTAAAGTTCCTGAGAATTTCAAGAAAAGATATTCATAAATCTCCGTCAAAATAAAAGTTTTATCGGAGGAAATCTGGCAACCCTCGAATGTTCATACGGCGTTCTTCCTTAGCACGGCAGTATAGAATCGCAGTGATTTTGAATTACGGCCTCAACTTTGGGAGCTTTTTTCAGCTACGAAGTTGATTTTAGACAAAACTAGAGGCAACTTCATATTTCTCGCAAACTGCCAGAACAGGAGAATTAGATATTTCCATTAAGAACTCCGACTCTTTCGAGAATTCCATCACTGCTTATTTAATTTAAGTTCTAAGACAGCTCAAAAGCCGTTTTGACTATACGTACCTGATCTAAAAGGGAGTTAACCAGATATTCGTATCGACGCATTGTTTTCTGTACATTATTGTGAAGCAGTCAGTTTTGTTTGAGCATATCAAATGATCGGGGTTCATTCAAAATGTAAATGATCATTATTTTACACCGGATAGCTCCAAGCAAACTGTTGTCAACTAATTCCATTTTACTTTGTAGCACAATTTCGCTGGCGTTGTTTGGTCATTTTAGAAAAGTTATTTCATGCAACTTCCCTCGTCTTTTGCGAGTATACAGGGTGTCTCACGAAAAACGAGCCACCTTGAATATCTGCCGAACGCGTCGGAATTTCGAAAAACGGTAAAAGACGTGTTCGTTTATATCAAGGGGGACACCTTTTGGCGTATTCAACATTTTCCCAAACCGCGGGAGGGGCGCGGGGCGGGGGGTGCCCCACCCGTAAGTCGAACTTTTCAAATGGCACCCCTACTTTTTTATTTCAGAAATCAATTCTACGCCAAAAAACAAGCTACCCTGTCCAAACCGAATGTAAATCGGACAATTTTTCAGTGATTGAGAGAGTTTGAAACATTTTTTTCATGCTCTTTTCAAAAATTTCCCACGCCCAATGGAATTGCTGTATCAAACCAAACTCTCCGCCAAAAAAATTCTTAAACATTGCACTTTCGATAAAAAAATAAAAAAAATCTGCTGCACCCGAAATCTGGAGCACGCGGAGCCCTTCTTTGCGACATTAAAATTCGTTATACCGAACATTGCCGAGGGGCGCTCATCGGGAGGGAGTAGTAAGTTTTAGACAAGAATTATTAATCTTCTTTCTGAAGCATAAGTGCATGAAGAAGCAGTTAAGTAGAAAAACAAATGGATTAGCTTTTTTTGAGGGGAGGGGGGGGGGTCAATGACTTGAGCCGGACCTTGATACTTCTGAGGACGCTATTTTTCCGCGGTGCGTTGTTTTTCTACTTAACTGCTTCTTCATGGACACGGTTTCTTATGCTTCAGAAAGAAGATTAATAATTCTTGTCTAAAACTTACTACTCCCTCCCGATGAGCGCCCCTCGGCAATGTTCGGTATAACGAATTTTAATGTCGCAAAGAAGGGCTCCGCGTGCTCCAGATTTCGGGTGCAGCAGATTTTTTTTATTTTTTTATCGAAAGTGCAATGTTTAAGAATTTTTTTGGCGGAGAGTTTGGTTTGATACAGCAATTCCATTGGGCGTGGGAAATTTTTGAAAAGAGCATGAAAAAAATGTTTCAAACTCTCTCAATCACTGAAAAATTGTCCGATTTACATTCGGTTTGGACAGGGTAGCTTGTTTTTTGGCGTAGAATTGATTTCTGAAATAAAAAAGTAGGGGTGCCATTTGAAAAGTTCGACTTACGGGTGGGGCACCCCCCGCCCCGCGCCCCTCCCGCGGTTTGGGAAAATGTTGAATACGCCAAAAGGTGTCCCCCTTGATATAAACGAACACGTCTTTTACCGTTTTTCGAAATTCCGACGCGTTCGGCAGATATTCAAGGTGGCTCGTTTTTCGTGAGACACCCTGTATTCTTTTCCGTGTTGCAGCATCTATGATGCAACATGGACGGAACTGGGGACCTCCTGTGAAGGCACTAAAAAGGCATCTTATCAAGAAGAGGTGAAGGAAGCACTAAAAAACCCACAACGGGGGATCCTCTAGGCCTTTCTTAGAACATTCTATAAAACTAAAAGGTGTTAGTAGCAGTTTTCAGATGTCGCCCTTCAAAAAATTCTTGGAGATGCACCACCTTGACGCACACCATGGTTTCTTCCACGTTGGCC